GTGTTTCCCCGAAAATAAGACAGTGTCTTATATTAATTTTTGCTCTGAAAAATGCGCTAGGTCTTATTTTCAGGGAATGTCTTATTTTTTCCAGGAAGAAGAATTCACATTTATTATTGAACTAAAAAAATTCCCAAGTCGAACTTAGACGAGACTGACGTATATCCGGTGTCTGACCTGTCGACTTTTTATAGCGTCAACATCGGACTCGATGACCAATTAGTGCTTACTGAACCGTAGCACTATGCAAATGTCATGTAGCATGATTCCCGGCCGACCAATTAGCCGTCACCAGCCGTAACGTTGTGCAAATCTGTGATTTCCGAGCCATAGTCTTATGCAAATCATGCCGTGTGGCGTAATTGTCTGCTGACCAATCAGTGGCTGTACTTTCAAAAAGCCAACGGCCACTTTCAACCATCTGTCAATGATCGTTACGACTGAAGAAAAACTTCGCTAGGTCTTACTTTCAGCGGGAGGTCTTATATTTCGCAATTCACGCAAAATCTGTGCTAGGTCTTATTTTTTTGCGGATGTCTTATTTTCGGGGAAACACGGTATCTTCCCAAAATTGTTTTTATGTCTTGCTACAAACCCAAGTTGTCTACATAATGTGTTGAATGGAAGATTTTCATCTCGAATCGTGAAAGCTTCAAAGTCAATGATAACTCCTATATTAGAAACTATATTATAATACACAGTATTAATTTTAATACAAAATAACTTTAACACCTATCATTTAAGTATTTTTGAGTGTTGAAATCTAATTTATATTAAAATATATCAATTAAATAGAGACATATAGAAAAAAATATATATTGTAAATTATTTTAATACTTACCACAGGAGAATTCTTAGGCACTAGAATCTACAATTTTTTTTTTTAAATATATATTAATCAAGTATAGATATAAAAGAAAATATACTTACAACTCATCTTGGTAGAATGATGATGTTTGAATGAAGTTTGTAAATTATCATTGATTCTACTGGCTGTATTTATACTTAAAGTTAAAAGAGGTGTGGTATTCATTTTTAGATGTCCTGTTATTGAAGTACATTCTTAAAATATTAATAGACATGGTATGTTTTTAAAAATATTAATAGAGACCATGTGTTTTTATTCATTTTTAAAATATCCTGTTATGTCAATTTTCAATTCATATTTAAATAGCCTTGTTATTCAAAGTATAGTTGAAGAATATTAATAGACGTCGTGTTATTCTAAAAATATTAATTAGCATCCGTGTTGTGTGTTATTTTTGTGTTCAATGATAGTATAAATACTGGATATAAGAGACTGGCTCAATACACTGCTGAGATACCAGCTAAGAACAATTTTTTGCAAGAACATATTATATATCTAAGAAAAATGTCTTCAGAAGGTAAGTATTTTATTTTATCTTTTAATATTTTTACTTAAAATCTTTCAATAAATATAACATTAATTTTAGACTGTGATTATGATTTTAATGTGAAACAAACTGTTGGTAAAAAAAGAGGAGCAAAACCTAAAAATATAGAAGATCTGGAGTTGAAAAAGCAAAAGGTTGCCTTAGACCAAAAGTTTGAGTTAGATCTAACTCTAGATAAAGGTAAATCTTCAAAAATTAAACAGTTTAACATCAAAATATGTGAAAATCAATTCATGAATTTGACAGAATTCTATTCTAAAACATATATTTCGCTGACAAAATCGAAAGGGAACTATGCATATAATAAATATAATATTAATATTGACGATTTTAAATTTTATAAAAAAGCCTTTGATGCGATGAATGAACATTTGGACAAATGTGAAAATGTTTAAAATATGTCTTTTATATTAAGGAAAAAAAAAAAAAAAATTTTAGAGGTTATGCTAAAACTTATCATGCTCTTATTTTAGAAAATACTGATCCAACTGTCTTTTTTTTAAAAAATGACATCTAGTATTTATATTTTAGTTAATGATAATTTTGTTCTTTAAAACCAAAGATGTATTCTTATGCATCATCATCTTCATAATATGGATTTTTAATAATATGCAAATGAAAACATACTTATGTAATACATAGTGTTTGTAATAAAACTTATCCGTGTTTAAAACAAGCATGTAATAAAACAGCATCATTAAAACTGAATAACAATGAAACATATGAATGTAAATTTTCTGTAATAAATGATAAAATATTTTACAAGATGTAATTGCATGAAATGTAATAAATAATTTTGTATCTGTTAATATATGTACTCAATTCAAATAATGTTTATCCATTTACATATATATTCGATTTGAATAATAATGTATTCTATTATGATATCCATATTATAAAATGTTATTAATATGAATAATGTATTTTAACAAAAACAACAATTTTGTTTCTTTATAGACAATACTCAACTGCTGATTGATTGGGAAATTTTTCATTTTCACCATTAGAAGAAAATGATATTCGTCATTTAAGAAATCATATTGACTGTGATACCATCAGTCAACGAAACGATTTATCTCTCACATTTATTTCTGAATTCGGTGATAAGTTAAATTGGGAAATCCTATGGAAAAAACTATATATTCACTACTTCATTTATTGAATAACATATTAAATATGCAAAATAAGATTTAATTTGCGAGCATCAGGTGTTAGACGAATTATTCTTAAACAACTTTTCACAATATCTTGATTGGAATAAAGTTNGGAAAAAACCTTTTAGAGGTTATGCTAAAACTTATCATGCTCTTATTTTAGAAAATACTGATCCAACTGTCTTTTTTGAAAAAATGACATCTAGTATTTATATTTTAATTAATGATAATTTTGTTCTTTAAAACTAAAGATGTATTCTGATGCATCATCATCTTAATAATATGGATTTTTAACAGTATGCAAACAAAAAACATAGTTATGTAATACATAGTGTTTGTAATAAAACTTATCTGTGTTTAAAACAAGCATGTAATAAAGCAGCATCATTAAAACTGTCTAACAATAAAACATATGAATGTAAATTTTCTGTAATAAATGATAAAATATTTTACAAGATGTAATTGCATGAAATGTAATAAATAATTTTGTATCTGTTAATATATGTACTCAATTCAAATAATGTTTATCCATTTACATATATATTCGATTTGAATAATAATGTATTCTATTATGATATCCATATTATAAAATGTTATTAATATGAATAATGTATTTTAACAAAAACAACAATTTTGTTTCTTTATAGACAATACTCAACTGCTGATTGATTGGGAAATTTTTCATTTTCACCATTAGAAGAAAATGATATTCGTCATTTAAGAAATCATATTGACTGTGATACCATCAGTCAACGAAACGATTTATCTCTCACATTTATTTCTGAATTCGGTGATAAGTTAAATTGGGAAATCCTATGGAAAAAACTATATATTCACTACTTCATTTATTGAATAACATATTAAATATGCAAAATAAGATTTAATTTGCGAGCATCAGGTGTTAGACGAATTATTCTTAAACAACTTTTCACAATATCTTGATCGGAATAAAGTTGCCGAATTTCAAATCCTTTCAGATAATTTTATTTTGCGATACATACATAAGTTTGATATTTAAAAATATTTAAAATACCAACGATTAAAAACTATGACTTTACGCGTATTAAAAGATTATATAAACTGGAATTATGTTTCTCGTTACCAAATACTTGACCAGCAATTTATTTATGACTTCTAAAATGAACTTTTATGGTGTTACATTTTAAAATTTCAGGAAACAGACCGGGAATGTATTGTAAACAATCACCAGAAATTATTACTCCACTTACTAGCAGAAATGTGCCATGTTTTAGATAAAGTATATGAGAAAACTGGAAAAGCTTAAATAAAATAAAGTAATTTAATCTATTAATGTAAAAATAAAAAAAATTTCAAAAATAATTTTTTTTCAGTGTTATATTGTTTCATACAATTATTGTGTTTTAATTTTATTCGATATTTAAACATTTAATAATTTATACAAAAACTTTGCCATATTGTTAAAATAAAATTAATCGAATTTAAATTTAATAATTAATACAGCTTTATTGTTAAAATAAAATTAAGATTTGTGATCGAAAAATTAATTTTGTGATCAGAAATAATTTCATTCAACAAATTTTTATTTGCAATTTTAAAAAATTATTTGCAATTCACATCTTAAATTAATTTTGTGCTTAGTGCTACTGAAACCACTACTACTAATTGGATATTTTTGTGTGTTTTTTTAAAGGAATGTTTTAGCCTGATGACGTAGTAGCCTACAAAGAAAGGTCCAGTCCTCTATGGTGTTCTGAAACACATGATAAGAATAAATGGTTGTTTCAAAAAATTATTTTTGGACAGACTGTGTCTTTTGAGATTAAAATAAGTTATTATCCGGCGAAATTCTACAAACAAATCTTTTTTGGAAATAATTCGTCACTAGAGAAATAAGACCAAAATCTACATTTAACAGCGCATTTATCAAGTGGATATAACAGACTGAAACTCCCTAACTGGAAAGGAAAGTTTAAGACGTCTGTAAGACCGCCAGTTCCAATTCTTTACTTTTAATATTTTAATTGGATATTTTTGTATTTTTTTAAAGGAATGTTTCAGCCTGATGACCTAGTAGCCTACAAAGAAAGGTTTGGTCGTCAATGGTGTTCTGGAACACATGATCAGAATAAACGGTGGTTTCAAAAAATAATTTTTCGACAGACTGTGTCTTTTGTGATTAAAAAAAATCGATTTTCGATGGTGTTTTTCTAACGATTCTCATATTTCTTTTGAAGTTTTTGCTTTTTTGATGAGCTGTAATTGCGAATCTTCTACCATGAGACTGGTTTTACTTCTTACTTTACCATGTTTTAGTTTCCATTCATTTGTCTGTGATTCAGATGGTGGATTGCATACAACATCCCGTAAGTCACTGTCAATAAGTAGCAGCTCCATTTTAAACCTCCAAGCTGGATAATTATTCCTGTTCAACTTCGTGATGACCGTTTTCACACTGTCGGCCATCTTGTCTTCGATGTTGTATACGTATGCTAAATAAACCCGTTACGTAAAATAAAACGTCGTCTCACTATTCACTCAGTAAATACCTCTGTCTGGGCCCATAACCTGTTAAATATATCACTGTTGCAATTTATGTGTTCACAGATAGTGAGTAGGATACCTTACAAATAAGTTTAAAAAATCATACACGACTACTTTGATCCGTTTCAAGTCATATCGAACCAAAAAGTGGCAGGCTTGATAGAAGAAGCCACTTCATGGCCGTTTATTTATTATAAAATTTAATACAATGGTATATAACACGAAGCGTTGCTACAGAATACAAATACAAAAGTTTATATAAGACAAATTATTGTTACACACATAAGTAATGACAGAAGAGAAATTTCACACAGATACTGTAAGAAATGAAGGAGGAAAATAAGAGAAATGGGGAACGCAGGAAGAACGCACTCAACGACTGCTTTTATTCTAAAACACAACTACGTTTATTTAACTAAGAAATATACATGGATACAAGCAAAGAGGAAGTTCACAATTGATCGCGAGCAGATAGTTCTTCGACAGGCACGGTCTTCTGACAGTTTTAAGCATTAAACGGGAAACAGTTACAATTCTATAAGAGAGAGGTATTGATGAGGACTGTGATGGACGACAACCGGGAAACTTCAGGGATGAAAGGGAAAATGAATAGGAACTAGCCTTCTGAATTGGGCAGCGCACTGGAACTGGACACTCTGTATGACCTTTTGGAAGTCCTTTTATACCTTATGGTTTGTTTCCTGGGTTTAAAAATTACTAAAAGTGGAAATATGGAATGAAGAGACTGTTAATAACGAATCCGAATTTTTCTTCACTACTTCGAGTAATCATCTCAGGAAGAGTTGTCGTTTCAAAGAAAGCGTTGCTTTCAACAAAATCTTGTCATTTCTTCATCTCCTTTTTTAAATTTTTTTTGTTAAGAATTTACTTTAAATATATAAAACAACTGTAGCCCGGTATCTCACACCCATATTTAACTCTTCACGTACACAGCAACTTTTAATGTTAAGGTAATTAAACATAAAAATACTTAAAACTGAAAAAAAACGAAAGAAATGCGTTAATTTTGAAGAAAAAGCTTCAAACATTGTCTCGCCTTTCTGCGAAATTTGACGAGGATGAGTCATTGTGTTTACAGCTGGATGACCTTGAGAACAGCTGGTGTTGGATTTCCCGGGACATTCTCATAGAAGTCTCAGGAGGAGAAGGGTTTAAAGTAGGGTGAATACTAGCTGGCTGTATACTTTTAAATATTTTTTAAAAAATTACGTTTTTTTTGCGATTTCCGACTCCCCGACTAAATTTAGCGTATATATAATAAAATCTATTAATTAAAAAAATTAGAAAACTATTGGAGGTCGATTTTGACATCAGAAAGTAGCTTTAAATAACTTTATCGAAGGAAAAACCGTGCATTAGAACTTTAGAACGATGAATGAAATTTGATATCAAAATCCCATTAAAAAACAATTAAGCGTTAATCGTGCGTCATTAAAGGTAGATTAAAACCGTAATAAAATTTTTTCGCGCAGAAAAAAATTTTTTAAAAAATTTGGAGACTTAATTAAATTAATTAAAGCAATTTGCTTCTCTTCAGTACTACTTCAATGATTTATATAAGGGTTGAGGGGTATCCAACTTGGTTAAAGTGTTATTAATTTCTTGTTTAAATGATTTTCAAAATGAGTTTCAAATTTTAAGTCGTTATTTCTTTAGTAAATACGGAACAATTCAGCCCACTGAAAATTTGCCGGGACACCAGAACATTTATTAAAAACAGGAAACAATATCATATATAAGGGTCCTCTGGCAACCCTTATTAAAGTCCGATTACAGTTGCATTGTTTGATGATGCAAAAATTTACAAGAGCGGTGAGTATGAATTTTTACATTTATATGTGAATGGAAGGTGTTAAGTAATTATATTCGTAGGGATTAATTACATTAATAGAAATTTTAGACTATACCAAATAAATTTTGAGTCCTTTGCCTATTATTATCCTTTTATTCTAGTTCCAGAATCATAAAAACAGCCAGCGACTTGAAAGCAACACTTCCACAAATAACCGATGAACACAATAAAAAAACTTACAAAATTAAAAATGATCAGGACGTCGACCCTTTTTGTAGGCTACGACATCTACCCGAAATCCACCAGAGGACTCTCAGCTGAAATGCGGTTATATAACATGAATGCTATCGTGAAGAACTTTAACAATTTTTTAATGTGTAGATGTCGTGATCATTTTTAATTTTGTAAGTTGTTTGATTGTATTCATCGGTTATTTGTGGAAGTGTTGCTTCATGACG